GCAATGGAAGATTCTTTGACTGGGGGCAGCTGTTTCGCATCATGATGGACTCGACTCTTGGTCGCTTGGCTTGGGGTCAAGGCATTGCAAGCAGCAGTGTGCGAGTCGTACGGTGCGAGGAGCGCAGGACGACTCACCTTCAACTCACTCCGGAAGGAGCAGCCAGAGCAGGGCAGGGCAAGAGGTAATGTAGGGCAGGGCCGCCGTTGCCTCCAGAGCGCACACCCCATGCCTGGGTTCCGTCCGTGCCTGCGTCTGCTTTGCCGTTGCTTGCTTGCCTGGTCGGGGTTAAGGTGACCAGGATGGCACTTGCTGTTAGAAAAAATAAAACAGCAAGGACCGAAAAAAAAAGAGTCCTCCCCCGCAGGGCGGGACCGTGTCAACTGTACCGGGACAGTGCCCCCTGACAAACGAAAGACAGAGAGACATAACGCCACAATCTCCGTCCCCAGTTTAATGACGATGGAAACGGCACCCTCTCATACCGGCCGCCCTGCCAACTGCCCTGCCCGGCACGCCCAGGGTAGACCTCGAAATGGGAGCCGAGCATCGTCTGTCCTCCCCGGAAGCAAGTGAGAAAGCGAGACAAGGTGAAGGGAGATGATGTAGACAACAAGCCAAACGGCGGGCCTAGGCTGGGGGTTGGTCGGGGTAAGATAAGCGAAAGCATGAAGCGGATAGAGACTGTTGAGGAAAAAAATCCTGTGAGATTCAGGCTGGAGCAGGTTTCGGGTCAAACTCCAGAGACAAATGCCCGCCTGGAGCCGCAAATGCGTTGTGACAGTCGCCGACGAACATCATACGGTTAGCATAGCATAGAACTGCACGTCGCATTCAATCGGCTCAACTAGCAGCGGTTGGACACTCTCGGCGAGGAAAGAAACTCGCTTTTTCGTCTGATGTCCTACTCGTCGGTTTAATGTCGCAACAGGACGAGACCTGATACTGGTTCACTGCCGTACGCGGAATGAAGAGGCATAACGAGAAACTGACATGGTCAAAGGAGCCAAGACTATATCCATCCACGCGGCATGGGCGGCGGACAGGTCGACAACTCTCAGCGTTGCATCGCTCCTCAAGTCAACAGATACGGCACACTTATTCATGAGGGATAGCAACGTTGATGCAAGCAAGGTAGGTAAAGACAGAATACCTGTATAGCAGGATGGAAACCATTGTATGTTTGGGTGAGGCGGAAAAAGACTGGAAACCTCAGGCTATAGTGCAGTACCTGCTGCACAGAATCCGGCAATCTGATTTGCGGACTAGCTGCTTGAGTGCACTGGGTTTTTATCAAGGCTCGATAGTCAAAGAGTCTCGATTCTGTCGAGAGCCGCTGGATGTCATGCTCTTTGATGAGAGAATGATGGGACCATCATTCTAAATCAGCACCAACGCTAAACCAGCTCGAATCCTTGTCCCTGCCTCTCCTGCTCGGCTTGGAGCCAGTCGGTACGTATACACATGCTCCCCTACTAGCGTGATCCACTATCACGCCCCACCTCCTCACCTTTCTCTTTCCTTTCGCGAAAGAGAGAGAAGGAACGCCCCACTGGGCGTACCGTCCCACCAAAGATCTCTTACTGTCCGTCATCAACCCCGGCCGCCTGTTTCCTGTACTGTGCGCGTATGTCGTCCACCGACGAGTGTTTGCTGTGGCTCCATCTCTCTAGCCTGACATTGCTTTCTTGCCTCTTCCCTTCCCTTCCCGCCCAGGCCCTTAGTTAGTCTCGAGTCTTGACAACCGAGCAAGACGTGGACACTTTGGACACCTCACGGGAGGGACAGCAGCTCGTCGCCGGACTGCTTACTCCTGCTCCTTTGTCCACGCCGTCCGTACATCGTACTCCTCCCCCGTACCGAACCTTGATCTACTCCCAGCTTGCGTTGCTGTTCCCCCCGCCCAGCGACCCGCCCAGCGGCGCCTGTCCTTGCTGCGGCCACCGCATGTTTCAATCGTCCTCTGCTGGTCTGCTATCGGTAGTAACGCTGATACATAGTTGTGGGCGTGGGTATTTTTGGGTCTTTTGCGGAGAGCTCGATACCTATGGATATGGATGGATGTGGATGGATATGGATGGCCAGGGTGCGGTCATCGGTGATCTGCCTTGGTTTTTGACTCTACCGGGAAACCTCAACGTCCCTCCCGCCGCACCCAGAAATCTCGATACCGGAGCAGACGCAACGGCGCCGGCAGCAGCATCCAAACCAAAAAAAAAATCTGGCGTGTAGGAGCGAGGAGGGGGCTGTCTCTCATCTCTTCTCAGGGGGGCGCCTAGCCATTGGCATCTGCCGTTGTCTCTCGCTGGGCTGCCGTGCTCATCCAGACAGACAGACAGACATGCTGAGCCATGCCATGCCATGCCATGCCACGCCGACCCCGTTCTTGACCGTGTATCTCCATCCGGACCGGGGAATCAAGACGGCAATAAGGCAGATGCAGAGCAGACCGAATCCAACCAAAACAGAATCAACCACATCCCGATCCAACAAGCAAGCCAGCGGACCTGCCGCCGCATCCTCTGCCCAGAGCCAGAGGTAGCGAGCGCCAGCTGCAACTTGCACTGCACCTGCGGTGCGGTTGCATTTGCCAGAGGTGCCAATGCCAATAGAGGGGGTGACCGCAGCCATAATCTGGTGGCCTCTACTCTTGACGCAGCACAGAGGTACTCGCTCTGTCGCCCGTTTTTACCTGCACCACTATCACGCCAATGCCAATTCCTCTCCCATCGACGGCCTTGCTTCACCTGCTGCTGCTGATACGCAGGGCGTGACCTCTGAACTTGTCAAGTGGCTTACAGCAGAGCACACTTGTCGTGTCGTGCGCGTCGTCCGTCCCCCTTCTCGTCGTTGGCCGCGGCCACGACCGACAGCAGCAGCAGCAGTAGCACATATGTCGATGGCGTTGGTGGCGGACATGCGTGATTAGTGCCCTCGTTCGACCGCGTTGTATGTGGTGTACCCGGTGCTCTCGTCAGTATCGGCGGCAGCTGCTTTCCATTGAGTTCTTCTGGATGAATGAATACAGGCCCAGGTCCAATCACACCGGTCGAGGTCGACAAGACTACCTAGCAAGAGACAGATGCCTACCAACACCGGCCGGTCAGTTCGTTCCTCCTCAACGCAACCAGCAATCGTCGAGCCCGCTCGGCTTGCCGTCTCCGTGCCACCATCCCACCACGGCAGCGTCGCCTCGTCTCTTTCACTTGCTTCCGTTCTGCCCCACCCCCTCCCCTCCCACCATCTTTTGACGCACACCCCCTTTCCTAGTTCGGGCTCTACTCAGACCACACCCCGTCCCCGCCACACTCCCCAACCTTTCTGCCACCCCGGCCTTCCTCGTCCTCGCACCTTCGCCCATCTTCTTCTTCGCCTCCTCAACACACACCTCGTCACCCACCTGCCACGCCTGTTCTTTCCCCACCCCCCAGTCCTCTGGGCCGTGTATTTTTTTTTTCTTTCCCTCTTCTCGCCGTCGTCTGCACTTGCAGGGGTGCTCCTGACCATCAGGTACGTGCTACTGCGTCTTCCGCCGCCTGGGTGCAGCAACACTACACCCCAGTCCAGTCCTCGCTCGCTCGCTCTCTCACTCACTCAACCCTCCCGGATCCTGGTCCTGGCCGCGCTTGGGGGGTGGGTGTGAGAGTGTTGGTAGTGGTGGTGCCGGGACCAGGACTGAACGGTCTGGTAGCTTTTTTCCTTCCCACCCTCTCCTTTTGCTGGAAGCGGTACCTGCTGCTGCTGCCGCCGCTGCTGCGCTGCACTTGGAAACCTGACTTGGACGAGAGAGCAGCGCCGCGGTGCTCGGGGACTGGGGCCTGGGCTCACCATTCAAAACCACTCCGTCCCCTCCGGAGCCGCCCACCAGTTTGCTCTCTCTCAATCTTTGTGTGCTCCAAACACCAAAGCCAACCACCACCAACTTCTCAATCCTCCTCGTCGTCCGTCGTAGAGATCTTCACCTTCTCTCTTCCTGACGACCACTCTCTCTGAAGAGAACACAAAGAAAGCAGGAGCAGGAACCCAACACAACAGACGGAAAAGAGAGTCATCGACATAACTCTCTTTTCTCCCAGGCACGGAAGGATTGACCCATAGTTCACGCTATCGCCGGTCTCCTTTGCCTCTTCGATCCAGACCCAACTCTCATCTCCCGTCCGCGTGTTCCTCCTCCCAATTCCGAACACCTTCGACCCACGATCCCCACGAACGCCGCAAGCCACCTTCTCACCGGTCCCTTCTTTCGAGACATCTCGCCCGCATCCCTAGGCTCGTCATTGCATTCCGCCTGCATCGACGGCATCTCCACGGGACCCTCCTCCCCAGCTACCGACATTCCTCGTCCAGTAGCAAACAAGAGTCCTCTTTTTGCAACTGTTGCTGGAATATTGCCAGTGCAAAAAGCTTTTGAACCGCCCTTTGCCTCGCTGGGATTTCGTCTTCATCCATGTAAGTGGTCAACCACGACTGCACCTAATCATAAAATAAAAATCCACCGAGAAAAACCAAGAAAAAAAAACAACCACCTTCGTCATTACTGCATCTTTTCCCTTTCCTCTTTTGTTTTTTGTTTTTGCATCATTTCAGTCTTGCCCTTTTGTCTTTGCGTGGTTTCCTCGTCCTTATTACCGTGGGGCTTTGCATCCCACGCCACCACAATCAACCGCGCCTTCTTTCCTACCTATTTTCCTTGGTTTTTGTTTTTTTTTCGCCTCCAGTTCGATCTCCGATCTATATGCTCCACCGATTTCCTTACTCGACACCATAATCCTAAAAGTCTCCTATGGCTGCGACTGGGCTGACAAGAACTTTCCAATAACACAGAAAACTTAATCCTATCGGCCGCTCCGTCCACCCGTCCTAATCTTTCGCATGAATTGATACCAATTTGCATTTCTTACAACCCTCCCGAGCCGCTACAGACTCTACCATCACCGTGCCGGGCGCACGAATCCGACCTATATCAACCCTTTTTATCCTACACATCAGTGGCACTCGATATGCCTTACACACCTCCCTCCCAGAGCCGGTCGCCCGCGAGCTCAGCACCATCTTCGCCCGACGTCAGCCGTCGCTCCTCGTTCCAGTCCAGCCCGAGACCTTCATTACCAAGGTCCGCATCATACCTCACAAAGCAAAGGCGGACACCCGCGGCGGCGACAGATTCTCCCACAAACGGCGCCTCCGACCAACCCACACCCCCGGGCACATCAGACGACCTGAAGGGTATGGCGACGAGCAGCAGCGTACGACAATCACCACCCCCGCTGACGGACGAGCGCGGTATTCCTAAGGGGGCTATCATCTCCCCGCCAGACTCGGGCAGCGAAGAGGAGGACGTCGCAGAACGGGGCAGGCAGATCGAGAACTTGAAGGAGCTCCAGGATGCAATCAGCCAGATCCCCGTTCACCGGGAAGCGTCGCCAACCCGCTCCAAGCTTGAGCAGCCAGATCTTGCTCTCATTACCAACCAAGACCTCCCCAAGGAGGGTCTTCCTACCAGTTTTAGCACCAGCTCGCTGGATGCCCTCGCCAAGACCGTTGCTCGCCGCGTCAACCACGCCAGATCTAGCACCGAGCCCAGGATAGTCTATGAACCAGTCTCTGTCACCGGCTCCGAGTCGGACTCGGATGGCAACACCCACCTCGACAGCAAGCCTCCTATGGTGCGCAAGAAGTCTGGCGAACTTGTCCGCCCTGCTCTACGACCTGCATCTGCTCGCCGGAGACCATCAAGCATGCCTGGCACGCCAACTTTCTCCAAGGCAGTCCACTTCGACTCCCACCTCGAGCACGTTCGGCATTTCCTCCAGGTCGACAGGCCACTCGCTGTCAGCGCTGGGTCTTCGCCGGTCGATAACTACGACAGTGACACCGAGTACCCCTTCCCTGGAGAGGAACGCCGCGGCGCCCGGACTCCTCCCTATGAGTGGGAGATTGTCACGGCAAACCACCCCATTGACACCCCTATCCGCAAGTCTCTGCCTGTACGTCTTGAAAGAGTGTGGTTGTCGCCCGACCAGAAGAACCTCTTGGGCTCCATCGCCGTTGCCAACTTGGCCTTCCAGAAATCTGTTACCTGCCGGTTCACGCTTGACTACTGGAAGACGACCTCAGAGGTCGGTGCGGAATACTCGCACGAGATCCGCCCTCAAGAGGGACCCGTTTCCCATGACCGCTTCACGTTCACCATCAAGCTCTCCGACCTGGCTAACCTCGAGACCAAGACGCTTTTCTTCTGCATCAGGTACAACGTGAATGGTCAGGAATTCTGGGACAACAACATGGGCACCAACTTCCAGGTTGACTTCCGGAAGAAGTACCTCCCTCAGAACGGTAAGCGAGGCTTGCAGGGCGCCGCCAGCCGTCCGGCGCTCCCTCGCAGCAACCGCCGCTCTAGCCCTGCTTCCGCTCCTCGGCCCAAGTCCATGCCTGTCGGCTTCGATGACTTTCCCAACCAAACCAAGCTCAACTTCGAACAGCCCATCCACGAGTATCTGGGCGAGTCGGGGCCGACGGCGGGGCTCCGCCTCAAGGTCAACAAGTCGACCGGCAACCTGGCTAGTGATAACCTCTCTAGCCGGCTGACAGCTCCCAGCGGTCAGGCATTTGCCAACCGCTACGACTTTGGCGCGTCCCTCACTGCTGCCGTCCAGGCTGCGAAGGACACGATAGTCAAGGACCGCAACCCTGATGGTCTCTATATGAAGAGCCACCGCAAGATCCAGGTTCCTGCCCAGCAACCGTATCAGCCTCAGCAGACCAAGCCTGCCCCAGCCCCAGCGGCCAATGGAGGCGCACCCGCTGTCTCCAAGCCTGTTGTGCGACCCACGGTTGCTGGCACCGACTCACCCAACACCTCCCTTGCCTCTTCATCGTATGAGGAACTGGTCAACAAATATTGTTTTGTACGTACTTCTGGTCAACAGTCACCCATACCCGACCCTTTCACCGACTCTCAACTATCGCCTGCTCTCAGCCCAAAAAGCATGTACTGACCTTGGCACTCAACAGTTCGGCTCCAAGCAGTCTAGTCCGCAAATCAAGGATGGCACTCTGAGGAGTGGCAAGTTCGACGGAGCTGACGATGCCTTTGCTACCCGGGGTTCCAACAGCACTAGCTCGAGCTCCAACGGCAGCCCGAGTATGGCACACCACGCCCATCACGCTGGACCCGCGCAACATCACGCTTTCCACCTCCGCGATTCCAACCCCTACTTTCAGCATTTGGGACCATACGGTACATCACCCGCCTTATCTCCACTCAACCACACTACCATGCAACCCGAGCGACCCGTGAACCAGCGTCCGAGTCAGGCTTCCACCCCAGCGACAATGAGGTCTGCCTCCCCCGCGGCCTCGGCGGGTGGCTTTCCTTTCGCCGGTACGTCGCCGAATGATTTTCCATACGCCCAGCAACTGCAGGAGCGATTTCCATTCAACACGGAGACTCATGCCGCAACAGCAATTAGGGGTTAGCCATGGCAACGCTCGCTCTCCACCATAACCGCATCATCTTTGCGGCCTCGTCATTTGACATTTCTCGACTGTGTTTTCGACAAAAGAATTTGCGCTCATCTTTCGGTCAACGGCGTTTATGGGCATTACGACACCAGGGGCCAGGTACGGCCATGGCATCGTGGGGCGTTCAAAGAGTTTTCATAGTTTACGGCCCTCGATCCGACTTGACGACGACACTCCCAAGCATACGACGGGCATACTGGAGTCAACGGAAAAAATAGCCTTGCTTTTCTCAGTCTTTCTTTCGTTACTCATACTTGATGAGCTCAACGCAGTGTCGAGGGAAAGATTCTCCTAACGGACGGTACATAGGAACGAACAGCATACAAGGAGTTCCTTTAATGCATAATTCGCTCTTGCCTTCACTCTTGCTTGACGTTCAACAGCGGCCGCTACTAGCTCGTCGAATTATCTTGCTTTTTTTTCCCTTTGGTTTGGTTTTCTGTGTGTGGTCAAGGGACTGGGACCTCCAGCATACGAGACGTGGGGTTCAAGGGAATATGGTCATCATTTGGCTTGTCGGAATCGACTGGGTTTTCGGAATAGGACAAGAGAATGTCCTCATTTACAATGCGTTGAGCATGCCCCCATATATGGGCGTGGCCTCGAGCAGCCCGCCATCGACTTCAAGTTCTCGTTCACTTGCGCTGGTTTTACACCGTGCTGCATTGGCGGGGCGGAGTGGATCGATTGGCAAGAGGTCTTGAGATGGATAAAAGTTGGGGAACTGAGTCTTGAGATTGAAGAATCGACTCATTCCTGTGTCACAATGGGTACCGGTTTCATACACTGGGCGTTTGGAAGATCGACGCAGTCGTTCGAGCAGAAAGCGTTCGGCCTGATTTGGCTTGATTAGTTAGGGTAGCATGGGAAGACAAAAAACAACTGCCATTGCTCACACACTTTTACCGTCCAAATTGACGACTGCTATGATGGATGTTTTTGGTGATGGCTGACCCTGACCTTTGGAGCTTATAGGCTCGCTACATCCAACAAACCAAACATTCTACTGCTACCTAACGGCCGTTACCTCGAACTATATGATCAGCTTCTGCCTCCTTGAAGTTTCGCTATATTGTCGACTCATCCGACCTATTACTTCCAGCTGGTACACATTGGTGTTCCTCGCCGACCACATCTTTGATGGCAGAATTACTAAAGTCCCGCGGGGTTTGCTTGAAACCGTGTATCTCAGTGTTGGTGTTGACCTCCAGCGTCATTGTTTCAATGCGGAAGGGCTCAATGATTTACTTCAAGTTGTTCACCTATTCTGTTCTGTTTCCTGCTTTCCTTCACTCGAACATGGAAAGTACACACAGCTATTCCGAGACGTTCCAAACTGCCGGAAAGAAAGCCTTCGTTTTCCACCAACTTACATGTTGCACCCGCCATGCCGGGAGGTAAGAGAGGGCGGCCCCTCAGAGCTTCTCAAAGGCCTCGACGGCGGCCTCGGCGGTGACGTGGGCGCTGGCCGGGTTCGCACCCGTGACGATGCGCCCGTCAGTGTGCGTAAAGGCGTCCCAGGGGCCCGGGGGCGGGATGTCTTACGGGGTCGCGTTTAGCAGGTCTGTTCTGTTCTGTCGTGGGGGTGCTTCTCGGTGACTGTCGGGGACAGACGATATCATGGGGCGGAGGGAGGGGCTGCCATGAAGGGGAGGGAGTATCAGGAGTCGGGGGGTTACTGGGTGCCGGTGAGAGGAAAGACTCACAGATTGCGCCGGCAGAGGCGGCGGACGACTCGATTGTCGGCCGGTTCCATGACTGTATGATATTGAGGACGCCCTCCTCCTCCTCGCCCTTTGTGGTGAAGCCGGTGACCTTTTTGCCGGCGATGATGGACCTGTTGGTCGAGGGGTCGATTATACCCGGGAAGATGGCGCCTCCGTGGCACCTACGGCCCACAGATTGAGTGCGTGAGCGGGTAAAATGATCGGGGATGGGACGCAGACGGGATTGGCGATGGGGGTGAGAACAAGAAGGGTATCGGATGAAGGGCAAGGGACTGGGGTGTACAGGGTTCGCTAGGCGGGACTACACGTACACTGCTGATATGATGCTCCCATCGGTGTACATCTTTGAAGCGATCGACTGCAGCCCCCTGGCATCCGGGTAGTCGATCAGAGAGGCATGCCCCGCCGAGGCGAAGAAAATGCCATACTGCCGTCGCGGTCACTCCTCAGCGAACTGACTATACCTTGAGGCTGGAGGGCGATGGGCGTCCTCACCTTGGCCGGAATGATGTCGCTGGGCTTCAGCAGCTTATCCAGCTTGGACCGGAATTCGCTCGAATGGTCCTCCCAGACTTTGCGGTCTTCCTCCGGGAGCCAATTCGGCTGTTGGGATAGCCAATCAGGTTGGTACGTGCCGGTCTCGGAGACGAGGTCGACCTCGAGGCCGGCCTCCCTGAAGACGTTGAAGGGGTGGAGGGCTTCCGTGATAAAAAGGCCTGTGGTCGGGCGTTGATTGATTAGCAGCGACTCAGCATGCGGGAGGTTGAGTCGTAGGCGGAAGAGAGCGAGGGTGATAGCAAGGATGGGGGCTGGTTGCTAGAGAGGTGAGGGCGCGGATTACCCGTCTCATGGCCCTCGGGATAAAGTGGGGCATGAGCCGAGGTCACGGCGATGAGTGCTCTCTTCGGGGGTGCCATGTTGACGTTGTGCCGGTGTCCTACGAGAGCGTTTCACACTCGCTAGCGGGAGGTTGTCTTCCGTGTCGGCGATCTATGAGGGTGGCTTTAGATGAGGGGAGGCTTGATTCCCTGGGACGTTTCCGATATCGATCACCACCGTGCGTGCGGGGTGGAGAAACGGGACGCTTCCTTGGGATTTTATACACGGGAAGAGGCCTACCTCGAATCGGAAATCGTGGGGAAAGCCTCTCCCGCGCCGGGGAAGGCATTCCGAGTGAAAACCACGCTTGGGCCCAGGAGAGGATGTTTATTTGGGCCTGGGCCATTTTGGACGAACTTTCGGCAATCCAATTTCCCACTTCCGTGAGGAGTTTGCTTTTGTTGGGCGCTAAGTACTGGCTAAGCGGGTCAGAATGATTCTAGCGTGCCTGCACCGTAAATAAGCTCGGCGTGAGGAAATAGACTTCTGGTGATCCCAACATGCGGAAGTACGCCGAGGTTATCGGCTCAAACTTAGAAAACTTAGAAACAAGGACAGATGCCATGAAACGTGGGTGGGTATGTCGCGACTTACAATTGGCATGGTATATGGTATCGTGAGTTGGTTGAGCGGCTTCTACGGAATCTCAGATCCACCGGCGGCGCGGGTACGTTGTGATGGCGCTGGATATCTGGAACCCCGCAGAAACTTGGCGTATTTCCCCGGTACGACTCAGAGTATTTACATCGACTGCATCACATGCCGGGCGTGGTGTATACTAGCTGCATTAGAGCCGACCCATGTTGAAGATGACAAGGCGAGATCAGGTTCCCGATATTGATGTTTTCAAATCACATAGTCTCATAAGGTAGCCACTTATAAGTCTTTAGATGTTAGCGAGGCTCATAGGCTCAACGTTTCTTGAACTGAGAACAAGATTGTGTGCTCTAGTAGAGTCAAGAGTAATATTGCGGCTGATATATATTATGAGGGTTCGATCTGAAGTGGACAGCCGCGAGTCAACCATCCGCATTCAGAACGAGTCGGTGGAAAACATCCTCATATGATTATATCGGTCTATCAATATGGCCGTGGATACCCGTCTGTCTCACTCATATTGCAGAGAGGTCATTCAAGGAGATCAAAGCCATACCAACTGAAGGCGTGAAGATACGTTATCGAAAAGTAGGGTAGCTGCCTTCTGGAAAAAGGAGGGGCAGATCTCAGGAACCATATCACGAGACCCACCTTAAGCTTTACTGATCGTGACGCTTCGCTCTGCTTGTGCTCTAGCTTCTTGTGGATGTCAGGATCTTGGGTAGATGTCATCTCACTACTACAATTCATACTTGCCGCCAGGCTCATGACCCTCATTCTCCTTTGTATTGACAAGTGTTATGTCGCAGTCGCAGAGTAGAACTATCATTGGTGTCTCAAAACTCCGTGTCTAAACTGGATGTGATATGCATGGAACTCCCTGGCGTCGACAGCACAGACACGTATATATGATCTACATTTATAGTTCATGAAGCCATACCAAGTTTGAACCGTTCATGTGGATCATGGCATATATTTACAACCAGACTATATCTGGATCGAGTCGAATGTTTCAAGTAATATGTTCAAGAATTTTATCGCATCGCCGCTCTTCCCCTTCTTACAGGCCAAAGAACTTCATGTCATCGGCACCACGGATCGGCACAGTGTGTCCGACACCAACCGCCCACACACCTGTGAGGTGGTCACCAAAGACATCAGTGCGGTAGTTAGTCTGAGGGGTGTTCTGCTTGGAGCTTGTGGGTTTGTCCGCGTTGTAGCCGAAGACGCCGGACCACTGCTTAATTGTCTCCTGGTAGTTGGCCGGGTACAGAGTGGTGTCAATGCTGCCGTGGTAGATTTGCATACGAGGACGCGACCCCTTGTAGTTAGGGTCGGCGTTGTACACCTGTTGGGCCCATTGAGCGGCGGTCTGCTTGACATTACCGTGCGCGCAGGTGCTGTTCCAGCCGTCGACGGAGCCGGTATAGAAGCAACCAGCAGGCACGCCGTTGTAGACAATACCAGCAGCAAAGAGCTCAGGGTAGGTTGCAGCCATAACGTTCTGTCATTGTTAGTAATTAACAAGTTCATATCGCCCTTCAAATTTGGAAAGCCGATGCAGGGTCTTCAACTTACGGTCATCATGGCACCAGACGAAGATCCCGTAACGAAAACCTTGGACTTGTCGCCTTTGTACTTGTTCAAGGCGTAAGTAACCATGTTGGCAATGGAGTTGCTGTTACCCCCGCCGTTGTGGGTCAGGGTCGCCTTGGAAGAGACATCCCAGCAGGTGCCAGAGTAAGGCGACTCAGGGTAGATGACGATGAAGCCCTTCTGATCGGCCAGCGTCTTGTACGGGCTGCCGTTGAAGTAGGCCTTTGCAGAGCCGGAACAGTAATGGATAGCGACGACGATGGCGGGGTTGGCTGCGACCTTGTCGGGAACGTAGATGAACATCTTGACGTTGCTGGGGTTTGAGCCGAAGCTGGTGACCTGCTGGAGCGAGGCAGCGGCAGCAGAGGCTACCAAGCCCAAGGCGGAGAGGACTACGCTGAACTTCATGACTGCTGTAAAGGAAATCCGGCGATGCCAAGCTTTGAAGTGCGTGTGGTGTTTACGATGTGGGCAAGGAACAGACCGAGCTCTTGTATACTTATACTGCGGGAAGAGATAGGTGAAGGCGTCACCACACCACGAGAGAAAGAGCTGAATCAGCTCACTATTGTGAGCAACCCTCTTTCTCACGTTCTACTTCAAACAGCACTAGAGTCCATGGGCTCTCTGTGTAGAACCCGATGGTGTCGTAACCCCACACGCGGGCCGTTTGGAAAGGGGCGGAGCGGGGCGAGCTTGTACGACTCCTGTCGTCAATGATTTAGCCGACGGCTTAGCGTGATGCACTGCTTTTGAGCGGACGGGAAAACAAGCTCATCTGGACAGGGATGCACGTTCATCTAATCTTGCAAGAAAGCTTTGCTCGGCAGTTGGCCTTGGAAGAAGATTCCAGTGTTCTGGAAGTTCGATATGGGTGCCGGTAGCCGCTCCGCGGCGTGGCGAACGCATGGCATCTCATGATGCACCCCAGACAAATGTACTTGGCGATGAGGGACATGCTGCATCCACTGAGGATCTCCCTAAGTAGTATCACAAAGATACCTGGACTTGCACCAAAGCAGCAGCCATCAACTCCACAACACAGATCCCCAATCCCCTGCTGACGCCGGGGTGACCGGCCGACTCGGAAGATCGTGGACCATTGATCAAATGGCTAATTGTAGGGTGTCGCCAATAATGGCACGCAGAGTATATAGGGATGCGGTAGGCGGAAAATTATTGCCCAAAGGGCCGTGAGCCATGGCTACTGGGTGATACGCAAACGCACCCCTTTCAAGATGGTAATCTTCCGAGCCGGCATCAGGACCTGCACTCATGAGCGTAAAAATAGGCGGTGTAAAAGCATGCAAATATCGCGCTTCTTTTCCTAGTTGTAAGCTGTGCTTATTACTCGACAATTTCGAGTATTCTCCCGACTAGATACGGAATTTGAGTTTGGTTGAAGAAATTCGTAGTGGCTGTGGCCCTCTCCCATACTCACTCGGTGTACAGAGCAACAAGCCGATGATATCAGCAACAAGATGGAGCCCTAAGGGCTTGTTGAACTGAGGTTCAATGACCTGACCATATAATTGATGAACTTATTTGCAGAGATTTGCGACCTTGCCTGGCTGCATCGGCGGTTCCGAAGAGCTTTTGTCGATTCCAGATGTCGAATTCTCCTCCTGCCCTAAGCGAGACAGGTTGCATTATGCTGAGACTACAAGAGAGAGTAGGTACAGTTTCCGAACCAAATTATGAAATAACGTGGGTGCGCCGGTAAAATTGGGACTCCGTGCACACAAGCTCGGATGCGACATTACTGATCCATACCGGCCCAAAGACACCAGTTACTTGGTCGAATGGGGCTGTGACACCATGGCATCTATTTTTTGACGCTGAATTCAGCCCTGTTGCGAAAGGATGAACTCTTTACCAAGCAAACTGAATAAGCGGTCTGACAGCACACGATCAAACTATGCAAGTCCACTTCACAGAAAGCCGCCACTTTGCGACGAGCCTGAAAGTCGCCCGAGAAGTCGATCTTTAAGTTTGTGGTCAATTAACCTCTTGACACGGATGTTATCAACGCGACGAACGGACTCTTAAAAACGCCCTACCATCCGAACCTCTTTTTAAGTCGGCTAACAACCAGACGACAGCTCGTCTAACCATTACCGCTCAGGTAACAAGCAACCACGCATTCCTGGGTTCAGTGGGTCGCGTCGAGGCCGCACAAGCTGAAGTTGAGGAACGGCTGCGATCTCGTTAAAACTAAAACAGTAAAAGGAAAATAGAGTGAGGCGCACCCACTCATTCAGCAGGGACTTGTAGCCAATACACGCGGGACTCAACTGCGTGCGGTAGGCCTCACGTAACAAGAGCCTACGGGGGTATCCACAGCACACTGCTCTCAGTCCCGCGTGAGAATGCGGCTCATCAGAGACATTGGCAGATGAAGGGATGCGACTGTACAGCGGGCTTGGCTACAACAAGCTTTCAGGGTGGCCTCGGCAAACGTTTAGTGAGCCAATGAAAAGCGTCTGTCAGTCTTGAACAGTCCGAGTTTCGCAAAACTCGGGTCTCGTGCCTGTCGTGACACTCCAATATTCAGAGATCACCCACCAATCACTGCATTTTTAGCCACCCTAGTGATTGCCTGTAATCTATCTGAGAAGTGCAATGGGGCGAAACGGCCCCCATGCTTGTCCGTGTTGGTTGCAACGTGCTCTTTCCAATAGAGTGTTCCTGACTACACTAGCCTAGCCAGTATGCTTAACCCCACCGCGGTGGTATCAGGCAAAGATCCAACCCCCTTTGATGGCTAGATGTGGTCTGCTGTCATGGGTTTCTCAGCAGCGTGTTGATTGTACCCATGACGCATAATCTCCACCACTCAAATCCAGAATTTACCCTCGGCTGTGGGTCTTGGATCGCAAATACAGGCCCAGAGGCTAAAGTTACATACCCATAACGCCGTGGGAGAGTAGGTAGTCAGACTACCCTTTAATTGCCCGTCTGTTTACGCCGAAATTGCCTTCCCGAATCAGCCGGAGCCCCAGTTTTGACAAACGCGAGCGGTTCGTTTAACCTCGAGCCGGGCAAACGCCCAATGACGGCGATGTCGAATGTATACGAACCAGACGGCGTCGGTCTTGTTGTTTCAGGCCCGCACAGCGTGGTTTTGTAGAGCTCCCACATCGTCGCCAAGACCATTCGCATCTCATATAAAGCTCGCTACCCAGAGTCGCATCTGCTCATCAACCCACAGTCATTCATTCACTCACTCAGTCATTCCTTTCTCTTGAGCCTTTTATACAACTAAACATTAACAATGAAGTTCGCTACTAGCCTCGTGTGCCTTCTGGCACCCATCACGGCCCTCGCTGCTCCGCTCGAGGAGAGGCAGGCCTCTCAGAGCCTCGACAAGCTGTTCAAGGCCAAGGGCAAGCAGTACTTCGGAACCATTGGCGACAAGGCCCTCTTGGCCAACACCAAGAATGCCGCCATCATCAAGGCGGACTTCGGCCAGCTCACGCCTGAGAACTCGATGAAGTGGGATCAGATCGAGCCTACTCAGGGCAAGTTCAACTGGGCCAACGCCGACACCCTTGTGGACTTTGCCACCGCCAACGGCAAAAAGATTCGCGGCCACACCCTGGTCTGGCACTCTCAGCTTGCTGGATATGTTAGCCAGATCAAGGACAAGGCGACTCTTACCAAGGTCATCCAGGACCACATCAAGGCTGTCGTTGGCCGTTACAAGGGCAAGATCTACCACTGGGTTAGTACAAGTCTTTTCCGTACCATTGGCGAGGTGTTGAGTCTAATTTGTTTTGGCTAGGACGTTGTGAACGAGATTTTCAACGAGGACGGCTCTCTCCGCTCTTCTGTCTTCTCCAACGTTCTCGGCGAGGAGTTTGTCAGCATCGCCTTCAAGGCTGCCAGGGCAGCTGACCCCAACGCAAAGCTCTTCATCAACGACTACAACCTCGACAAGGCGAACTACGCAAAGACCCAGGCCATGGCCAAGAAGGTCAAGCAGTGGATTGCCCAGGGTATCCCCATTGACGGTATTGGTATGTTTGTCCATCAATAGTCGCTTTTCCCGTTCATCGAACAGCTTGAACTAACGTCTCTCTTCCTTCATAGGCTCTCAGACCCACCTCAGCGCCGGTCAGAGTGGCAACATTCTCGGTGCCCTTCAGACTCTCGCAGGCAGCGGTGTCAAGGAGGTCGCCATTACTGAGCTCGACATTGCTGGCGCCAGCGCCAATGACTACACCACCGTCGTCAAGGCTTGCCTCCAGGTCAAGCAGTGCGCTGGTATCACCGTCTGGGGTGTTCGCGACCCCGACAGCTGGAGAGCCTCGAACAGCCCCCTTCTGTTCGACGCCAGTTACAACCCCAAGGCTGCCTACACTGCCATCGCCAAGGCTTTGGCTTAAATTGCGAGACGGGTGGCATCGTTTCGGCGAAACGTTGTACTTTAAAAAAAATTTATGTCTCATCGCAATTCGATGCGAGGGTGATCTTCATGTATAAATTGGCTCTTTTTTTCTTGGCCCAGGTGCCTTCTACATATACGACTGGTCCGTACATACCTTTTTTTTTAAAAGCTGAGATGGAAATACAAAAGCTTTCCGCTTCCGCTTCGACCAAGCTGTTCCGAGCTCAACATGAACTATAGCTTGCATGTGTTCTAACTTCCGGGTGACACTGATAAAATCCTAGGTACAATCCTATTAGTTGGAAGGCCGGTTTTTCTTGTCTACTAACGTCAATGATATTGAGCTTAATGTTCAACTTCTGCTTTCTTTTCAGAGTCATATATTTGACTTCCAAGTTAAAAACTAGGCTCATTAATTCTCCACTGTGACGCGTATTAAGGTGATTTACCTCCTGCCTCTGCATCATGATAGACGTTACGATGATGAACACCTCCTTCCTCTTCATGGTCAATAGGGCTGTAAAGTGTACTTCATCATGCTAAGATCACGTTTGGTACATGTCATCTGCCACTTGTTTTGTTGAGAAGAAGAACGCGATTGGTAAAAGAAGAACTAAAGAAGTAGAAACAGGAATGGAAGAGAATTGCAACTATAGAACACAATGCTTACAGCAGGCGAAACTCCCGAAGGTTGACCTCAAGACATGTGTTAAAAGATCCTGGTCGAGGAGTGCTTGAGTAGGTTCCCAAATGCGTTTAACGAAGATACCACGGTCACATGAATTAGGTTTTATAATGTATCTAGCTAAGAATTGCAGAACCCTGGCATGCCATGCAAGATCTGCTTCAACACTTATGAGAATGCAGATGTGATATGCGTTTATTCCATTCTCGAACGTCGGATAAAACTACAACTCCTGGGAACCATGAGTGAGCTTGAAACCTCCGCTTACTAAGGTCTGGAAGACACCTTCGGGGTCATATTTCTTCGCAATCTGCAACAGGCGCGCCTTGTTGACACTTCCGTAACCTGTGAAGGGGTCCTGGAATTGGCTGGCGTAGTTTGTGTATTTGTAGATACTGTAGAGTTCTCTCTCCTTTGCAGCGGCGTTGATCCGATTTTCAATGCGCTGCTGTACTCGATAGACCGTCTTGTCGTCCTCGGCCTTTTGCCACATGGCAACGATGTTGACGAACCCCACAGGTCGATTTTGACCAGCCAGACCCGTTGGGTTCCCGCCGTTTGCCTTCATGAAGTTCATTTGGGCGCGGGTGAATATTTGAAGCTGCAGCTGCTGGGTTGCTATGGAAGCAATGGGCTTGGATTCTTCGTTCCAGGTGTCAAAAGCGGTCTGCATCATCTCAGCGTCAAGCTCGAAGGAAGTCGTCCAGAAGGAGTTGCGGGTGACACCTCCAGGGAAGACAAGCCCGTCAACGATCTCGGCATGATATGCGTTACCCGCTGAGATGTTTCTTGGACCGGCCTCATAAAACTCATCGAAAACCAATGGGTGTTTGCCATCGGTGAAAGTGTCCGAATGTGTTAGAATTGCAGTGCCAGTAGGTGGACTGTCGATGTGAGCATCCCAGAGGAGCACGCCGCCGCTTTTGAGGTCCGTATCGACGAGGTGGTTGCCCCAGTTGGCAAAGGCGGCGATTGCAGAGACATTGGTTTTGCTGGAATACTTCAAATTGCCGTTCCAGAGTTTACCTTGTTCAAAGGCGTTGAACTTGAACTTGGTGACGATAGCGAAGTTGTTGCCACCACCACGTAGAGCCCAATACAGGTCAGGGTACGCTGAGGAAGTCACTGTCACAATCTGGCCATCGGCTAGGACCACCTCGTACTCAAGGACGTTATCGCAAGTGAGTCCATGGAGATTGCTCAACCACGATATTCCTCCTGCAAATGTATCAGTACTTTTACCATGCATCGAGCCCTGGCGAAGAACTCACCGCCCAATGTGAGACCGCCAACACCGACGTCGAACATCCGGCCGCCGGGTACAGTAAGATTGTACTCTTGAAGGATGGGGTAGACGCTAGACCATCTCGCTCCAGGCTCGATAATGGCAGACTTTCTGTCATTGCTAACAGTTGTCTGATTCAAGTGAGCAAGATCGACAACGAGCCCGTTCTCAATGGTAGAAGCTTCGAAAGAATAATGACCGCCACTCTTGATGGCGAATTGGCATTGGCCATTACGGGCAGCCAAAACAGCCTTTGAAACCTCTTGTGCGCTCAAAGGTGTAAAGAAGCAAGCGGGAGAAGCTGCTCCTTGGATTGTGGACCAGAAAGCCGCCTTTTCCGAGGTGTACTCGGTTTGGTCTCTGAGAAGGACCTGATTGGGGTACGTCTGTTCTAGAGCTCGACACTTTTGACATCGTTGTAAGCTGCATTGTTTGAGCAACTGACGCTGTTGTAGATGATTGGACTTACGACTTTGTCACAGCTCTGAATGAGTACGGGGTCGGCTGATGCAACAGACGTCAAGCCCACCAGCAAAGTTGTGAAAATTAAGGATGACGCAGCCATCGTGAAATAGAACCTGTTAGTGTTCCCCTCGAGAGCTTTTTGAATGATGAGTGGTATTTGCTTTTTCATGAATGGCCCCCAGAGGGCTTTTTATTCTACCTTTGTTGCGCACTCGGGACATGGTGAGGTCGTTGGAAGCCGGCGGTGTAAGTCGTAGTGTAAACTTTTCGAAATTGAAGGTGATCAGATTCGTATCCGCGGCCACCCGCGGCGACCGGGCCGAGTGCATCGCTAATGTTGATTGCCAAGATATATAATTCTGCAGAAGAAAAAAAACAACATGGGGATTTATGTCGAATACGGGGAAGCGGGGGCTTGCGGTCCATCTACACAACGCTGAGAGAAGCCTGTGCCTCTGTTATGCTCTTATATCCTGAATTGACGAATACAGGCACGCAACCCCAATAGCAGAGCGACGAAAAGTGATAGGCTGTGAGAACCAAGACTCTGGCGCCTTCATGGATCTTCAATGACTAGTTCTCAGCTGGTGCTTGTATTTTCACACAGCGCGAAAGCGTGTAATGGTCCAACCTCTCCAGTAATGATTTTGCCAACAAGTCTAGCCTTAGACCCCAAATCTGGAGTCTAGACTCACCAAAAGATACAGATCCTGCTAATATCAGCTGAACGTACGATTTTCTGCTGAATAAACCCAGACTTTCTCCCAATTCCCCTTGAAGCTCATCTTCAGCGGCCGCAACGGACATGTCCTGTTCCCCGGGCCCACAACATTCTCCATGGTATTAGGTGGAGGAATGACCCACTCCAAAACTTGTCAGAACTCACACACTCCACAGTTCCCTTCGTAACTAATGCCCTCATATATAGTCACCTCTCGTCTTTGTTCCATCCGGACGGCTCGGGCGACCGCTTACTTCCTGCTATAGAGTTCCACTGTGGCCAAGCCCGCAAGTTCCGTTTGCCGCAGCGAAATTACGTCTATGAGAATTTGTAAGCGGCGGAAAAGGTTGGTCTTGATAAGAATCACACTTTTATGTGCCAGCCTCAGTCCAGTTCTCCAACAACTCGGTCGCGGTGATGAGTGGAGATGAATTTGAGTGCTATGTCTGAGATATGAACCGAGAACCTCACGTACTAGAGCCCTGAAGGAAGAGAAAGCGTTATATTTCTGCAGGAAGCGTTCGACGAACTTCTCTGAAGATTGTTTAATTTTATCATAGGATGCGTCTATCTGTATCAGTTCCTTGATCCTCTGCGCTTCTGACTGCACATCACATCTACCTATCTCGGCACCTGTGCCGATTTCTCATACCAAGTAGTTGGTGTCGGTCCCCCAGTATCCCTCACTCCGCTACCTCGACGACCAACTTGGTACAACTCACTCCCTCAAGTAGCATGTCTAAACCGGCATTGATAGCCTTCAGGCCCTTTCCCACGACCTTCGGCTCCGGACTCGGCCTGATGGTCTCCTTGACTAGGTTCTCCCTCAGCCATGTCCCCATCCAATACCGAAACTGAGCCAACCTCTTCTCTTCGTCGTCCATCGACGGCATCAAAAATATGGTTTCCGCTCCCTTGATCTCCTCCGCATCGGCAGGAACAACCGCCGCCGACCCGATCTTCGCCTTCTGGCCCCCTCTTTCGTGATCATCTGTGAGAAAAGCCTTGAGGACGGCCTGACACAGCGCCAGCTGCCCAGTGGCAAGAAAGCAGTGCCGGATCGCTAGGCCATCCTTTTTGGCCGCCGCAACAATTGCGTCCACAACCTGCGGGTCTTTGTAGTCGAAGACACGATCCGCGCCTAGGGAGCCCACGTATTTGTGATTCGCCACCCCAGCCGTGGCGTACACAGCATTGACAGAACTGTTGTGGTCTTCCCGCAGCAGGCGGGCGGTTTGCACGCCCATCGTGCCCACGCTAGAAGAGGCGCCCCAAATCAACAGGGCCTCTCTCTTATGGCTGTTTTCTTGGGACTCTCCTCTGGCATCTGGACTGGCTGGGATGGCGGAGACGGAAGAAGGAATAGCGGCTGCCCCTACCTCCAGAAGCCCCATGGCATCCCACGCGCTGAGGGGGACCTGAACAGCGACGGGCAGGGTTGCTGCTTGGTTCCAAGAAATGCCTTCATCCGGTAGAGGCACGGCATGTTGCCAGGGGAGTAGGCACCGCTCCTGGAAGGCGCCGTAGTCAGGCTCGCAGGACTTCCAGACGGAGGCGGCGTAGGCGGCGACGCGAGTGATGCCGGGTTGGAAAAAGGGTCCCGGGCCTCCATAAGAAGCATCAGTAGGTACGTTCTCTCCGACCTCGACGACGAGCCCCGAGATGTCAAAGCCGATGACCGTGGGATAGGTGGGTATGTAAATGCCTTGGTCACGCATCAAGCGGTCTGCCGGGTTGAGGGCCACAGACTTGACCTCGATGAGGAGCTCGCCTGGGCCTGGTTTTGGCGTGCGGCGGGTCTGAATCTCAAAGGGCTTGCCTTTTGCAAGAGAAACTGCGGCAAGGTGGGTGGCCATTCTGGACTGCTTGTGCGAGAGGATGGTTTCGAAGTGTAGAATTTCACGTTGACTGAGTGTGTTATTGAAGAATTTCCATGCTTTGAATATCTATGGAAGCAGCCTTTTTTCGTAGGATATCGAGGAACATCATGCTTTTTATATGTATTACGTAGGATCATTAACCCAGCGAAATATTCCTTGGATGCAGGAACGCGAGACTGTTTGATGGGATCTTGTGTTAGTCGGAGATGTGGAAGCCTTCAGCATAGAACTCGAAGCGAACCAGAGACGTTTGTACGCGAAAAGCGGCTAGCGTGCAAAGTGGAGTATCCGAAGGAGGGTTAGCTCAAGCGGCGATACGAAACTACTTAACACCGCTGAGGGACCATGGCCGTCCCCACCATTCCGGTTCCCAGCGAATACAGGAGAACCCCTCAAAGCCAGGCTGCGAAAGGTACTGGACGACCTATCACGTATGGCTCCAGCTTGCATGGGAGAAGTGCAGGGGCGTAGAATCTCACGTAGATCGAGGCTTGGCTGCCGCAATTGCAAGCTCCGGAAACTCAAAGTGGGTAGCCCTCGGCTTTGCAAAGTTGGGTCTGTGGCTGACTGCATCTTGTTGGTCCCCTAGTGCGACCAAGGCAAGCCGCAGTGCAAGAGATGCACCTCGTTTGGGGTGTTGTGCAACTTCTTATCCAATATCTCTGACCTCCAACCCATGGCCGCTGACACAGGGTGGTCACTGGGGGTTCAGGGACAAACAGAGATGCAGCCATCTCTCACAAACGCTGTCTGGACATCTGACGCAGTGGCATCCTATCAATTAAATGCAAGGTGTCAAGACTTTATAACCCGTTATCTTGGAAAAAGTCTCATTACCCCTGACGATCCTCATATGACACAAGTCAACAGTAAGCTCCTGGAACTCGCCTTCGCTGTAAGTCTTATTGTATCAGTTCTGGCCTGTCAGACAGATAACGAAGAAGCCGGACCATCCATCCTGGGCTTGAGCTCGGCTAATATCTGGTTTACAGTATCCCTATTTAATGCACGCCTCTCTCGCTGTGGCGTTTACATATGATCGCTATCTGAACGGCCCTGCAGGCTGTGGTCGCACTCGAGAGGAGTGTTTTCACTGGTCTCAAAGCACAGTTCTCTTTAACAAGCGGTTGAAAGAACCGATTGAAGCGAAAGACAAGGATCCAATCTGGGGTACTGCGGCTGCTCTGGCCCTACTGACCTTCGCGTCCCCTGATGCATGCACACCGGAACAGGCGTGGCCTCTCAACTCATCCGACTCCTCCGACCTGGACTGGTTACGTATGAGCAATGGCAAGATGTCCTTGTGGCACACCATCAATCCGCTGCGAGCGGACAGCCTTTTCTGCGTCATGGCGGCGACCTATGCTCATATGAACTCACCGTTACCAGAGGGAGGCATAGATGGCATACCAAGTGCCTTGGCTGCCGTATGTAACCTCAAAGACTCGTCTACAGCACAAGACAACCCGTATTTCCATGCCGCCCACGCGGTATCTCAGATTCTGGACCTGCCAGATCGCGAGCTCACAACAGGCCACACTCAACTCTTCCCGCGGACCATCCATGGCACGTTCAAAGACTTGCTCCAGAAAAGGGACCCCGTAGCACTGCTGTTATTCTATTTATGGTACCGCGCCACAAGTCGCAGTGTCTGGTGGATTGACCTGAGAGCTAGAGTGGAATGCTATTCTATTTGCTCATACCTGCGACTCTATCATGGAGAGGACGTTGCTGTTCAGGCGTTCCTTCCGGGAGGGGCCCTGGCTGATGGGTGAAAGTAGGTATGCTCTAAAAGCCTTCGGGCCTCCTCCCCCATGGTATTGTTGATGTGAAGCACTGCAGTGGTACTTTTTTTTTGCAACCCCTGTTGCTTGGTCAACCCTATCATAGAGATATCTCCTGTTGACAAGTTCCATAGTTAGGGTCCGGAAGAACACAGATTAAGAAGCTCCCATTCCTCAAACACCTATAAAGGTCATACTTCTACATATACCCAAATTAATACATGGCGAGCTATGCAGGCGTCTGCCCGTTACGCCGCTCTTTCGTTTCGTGAGTTGACAAACATCGTCTAGCCTCGTCAAATCTTTCTTCCATAAGCAGTCGTCGCTCAAAGACAAACGCCGCGTTTTCTCTCCCAGCAGCCGTGGAAATAGTAATGAGCCCTCCGTAATCATCTCTTCAGACCATCATTGTCATCATTGGAATACTCCATTACACCTCCTCAGCAGCGACAGACTCATAACCACCCGCTCTCCTCCGCCCTCTGTTGATATTCATCAGGCTCGGGCTCTCGTACATCGCCGTGTAGTTGACGGGCTCACCGCCCAGAATGGCCGAACCGTTCTCGCGCTGGCCAAACGTGGGTGCCGGGTCGCACCAAAAGTCGCGGCAGTTGGCCATGCAGCCGTTTGAATAGGGGTTCTTCTTTCTCCGCTTGTTCTGGGTTGCGGCGCCGCGACCACGGATGGTCTCGATGAAGGGATCGACACCCAGGAGACGAGCCCACTGTTGGAGACGGCCGCCTTTGTGCTTGTGAGCGTGGGCATGGCCGTGACCGCCAGCTGCATCCGGGGGCGTCAGAGATGGGTGGTTCGGGTCCAGGGGAGTTCCAGTCGATGTGAAGGCGGAGGTGAGGGAGCCGTCTTGGACACCGAACATGTTCTCGTAGGTCGTCATCGCTCGAGAGACTTGGACGAACTGCACGAATAGAAGCATACCAACCCAGGTAAGCTGCAGAGTAGTCCATACAGTGAGGATCGCCGTGTAGCCGTCGGCGTTGACAACCTTGCAGAGACCAGGACTAAGGAAGTTGCAGCTGTCCGACACCGTATCCGGCATACCAGAAAAGTCTGATACAGTGTTAGCAACACAGTCACAGCATGAATAGGCAACACTTACAGTAGTACACAAGGAAGTCGTAGGCGATGATTCCCAAAGTCAAGCTGATGAGGTACATGAAGAAGTGGCGGTGGTTGTTCACACCAATACAGTTGTAGACCCAAGGGCAGTGGCTGTTCTGGTCAGCAGTGTCCTCAAACAAGGGTTCATGTCGACTCACTGATCATGTTTGGCGACACACTTCTGGCACCGCTTGCAGTGCTTACTGCGAAGGGGGGTCCGGATCATGCATGTGACACAGAAGTTGGTCTCGTCAAACTTCCACTGCTTCAAGAGCTCGTCGATGACCGCCTTCTGTTCAGCAATGCCGTTCATCTTGGGGACGAATCCAGGATCGTATCGCATGGCGGCGCTGTAGAAGTAGGCGCAAAGTCCGAGGAGCGCGCCAAAGACTAGGTTCAACCACCAGTGAGATCCAGTACCGTCTAGATCATGTCAGCGCCGACTAGAGCACGTTCAAGGCTATCATAACATACCGGATGAGCCCGTTGTACCAGGAAGGATAGTAGTTAGCCATCTCAGGCCGACCCAGAACAGTGAAGCAGCAAAGATACCAGCCAACCAGGGCTAAATCCGTTAGCAGAGGCCCCAGTACCAGTCAGTCAGCAACTTACTGTTCTATGGAAGTGTCTCATATCAGGAGGCGCAAACTCAATGACCTGCTGGGCGCACCACTGCATCCCGTACCCAACAGCCAGCGCAAAGAGCACGCCGGCATATACTGGCATACTCCCCAATATCGTGATCATGGACCATACCAGAAGGAAAGGCCACAGGAACAAGAACTTGGTGACGAACCCCCTCTTATCCTGGCGGAGGAAGCGCGCGCCGGGGAATTGCGGCTCAATTGGCTGTCCGTCCTCGTCGTACCCGCACTCCTTCAGAGCCCTGTGCCACGCGCCCGTCGTGTTGAGTTCCTTTGCCGTCACAGCCGGGGTCTTGCCTGTTTCCGTTTTCGCAAACCGGTCGGCTCCGTACTCAATCAGCTTCTGTATGCACGCGGGCGAGCCCTTGACTAACGCCCAGTGTAGCGCAGTAAACCCTTGCTCGTCGGTGGTGTGGACGCTAGCACCCCATCGGAGGAACAGGTCGACGCACTGGGGGAATCCCTTGTAGGCCGACCACATGAGCGCCGTGTGTCCGTAGCTATCGAGCACGTCTACGGGGATGCCCTGGTGGAGGAGAAGGACGAGCAAGAGGGTATTGCCGTTGAAGGTCGAGATGTGCAGGGTGTTGTAGCCCTGGGCGTCGGTGATGAGGGGGTCGGCTCCATGCTGCAGGAGGAGGTTGACGGTGTAGTAGTGGCATCGTTGAGCGGCCCACTGGAGGGGTGTCGCAACGGATTCTCCTCCTTTCTTGTTGATCTCGGCGCCATTGTCGATGAGGAACTTGCACATGGCATATTGGTTGTTTATCGCCGCCCACTAAACGCTGCTGTTAGTACCATGTGATCAAAGCCTCGGGCGTACAAAGAACTGCAAGGTTGTTTGGCGGCAACGTACATGCAAGGGTGTGATGCCTTCATCGTCGGTGTATGTCGCATCGTACTCCCCCGACTCGAAGAGCTTCTCCATGGCCGGTACGTCTCCCACTCTTGCAATCTGCATAATATCGTTTTCCGCGCTCGGCGCGTCGCCGCCAATGTTGCCCATCTCCAGCTCATTATTCAATGTCGGCGCAGCGGCACTCGTCTTGTTTGCCGGCTGATTCGGGGCCACAGAGGGGGCAGCAGCGCTACCTGGGGTGGAGGACTTGTCCATCGATATCGGCGGTCGCAACCCAAGCGTTGCGATGCGTCGGGTTTGAGGGGAACGTGTAGATGCGAGCTGCGATGACAACGAAACGAAGGTGTGCTGGGAGGACTAACTTAGGCTCGAACCTAGCGTCGCATTGCTCAAAGGTCGATCCGGAACAAGAGGTCAAGCAGATACAAGGCAGGAAAGTGATGATAAACGAGAGGGCCACGGTCGAAAAGACGGAAAAGGCACCGAAAGCCAAGTGGGCGAAATTACGTGGTCGTCAGCTCACGAGCTCGGCAACTGTTGAAGACTGGGGAATTATGGGTGAGAAGGAGATCACCGAAGACACTCCCCCTAAATCGGACTAGCGAGGCTGAGCTGACAAAGGTGGACCCACCTTTGTTTGCCGTGCTAGCCGTGATTGGTTGAGAAAGAGCTAGCGCCTCAAAGCTTGGCACTGAGACCCTGGCTAGGCGGATTCTTCGATAGCCTCAGCCTCGTTTTCAAAAAGTGGGTCTCTTGTGGCTGATCACGTCGACGTGGGAAAGCTCCACTTGCGCTCTCGTTGTCTCCACTGACGAACGGCTTGGACGTTTTCTTCTGGAAATCTGTCAACGAGCACGACTCAACATCGCCAACCCCCCCAGTCGTTCGTCCGCAGGGTATCCCACAACAGGGGAGCAACCCATCACTGTATACTTCCCAACTCTTCTGAACCCCGCGACACCAGAAACTGCGACCATGGCCGACAAGATGGGCTCCTTCACGGAGTTCTTCGAGCTCATCATGACCCCCTCCATGCCGGTCATCGCCATCGGCGCCGCCATCGTCCTCCTCTTCCCCATCCTGCTACACTACATCCTGATCAAGTCGACGCCCTACACGACACTCCCCTCGGTTCTCCTTCTGGGCCCCGCCGGCGCCGGCAAGACGGCCCTCCTCACCCTCTTCGAGCGCGGCGACGCCCCTGCATCCACGCACACGAGCCAGCGGCCCCAGACCGTCGAGCTCACGGCCTCGCGCGACAGCAAGACGGCCCAGAGCTTCCGCAACCACGACGACACGAGCGGCACCCATACAAAGTTCCTCCTCGTCGATACCCCGGGGCACGGCAAGCTGCGCAACTATGCCATGGCCAAGCTCGCCAGCAGCACCTCGGACAAGTCCAAGCTCAAGGCCATCCTCTTCATGATCGACGCCGCCGCGATCAGCGAGAACGAGGTCCTCGCGCCGACTGCCAGCTACCTCTACGACGTTCTCCTGGGTCTGCAGAAGCGCGCCTCTTCGAGCAAGTCGTCGAAGCCCCCTGCGCCCATCCCCGTTCTCGTCGCCGCCAACAAGACGGACCTGTTCACAGCGCTGCCTGGCGCGTTGGTCAAGTCGAGCCTCGAGGCGGAGATCACTCGGATACGCTCGTCGCGCAGCAAGGGCCTGCTGGATTCCGGCGTTGGCATCGACGAGATCGGCTCCGAGGAGCACGACGACTGGCTGGGCGCGTACGGCACGGAGAAGTTCACTTTTGACCAGCTGCGCGAGTTCGACGTCGACGTCGATGTGATTGCGGGCAACGTCACCGGAAACGGCTCAGGCCCCGACAAGTGGTGGTCCTGGATTGCCCAACGGATATAAGCGTTGCGGCAAGGGCAAATAATAATAAAAGCACATAATGAGGTTCGGTCGATGAAAGATGTTCCGGTTCAGATGCGCAAAACTGTGATTGTGAATTCTGTCCTTTTTGAGGACCAGAGCCGCCCTGTTCTCTATGTAGATGTTGAGTCTACCCCGTCCCAAGATTCCAAGCAAATGCTGCCAACCGAGGTTAGTTGATGCGACCCAAGATTCGTCCCTGCCACCTTGCCATGCCCGCTTCCAAACGCCGATGCAGAAACTACCGTTCTTCCTCGTGTAGTCTTGTGATTTCTTTTCGCTCCGTCTATAAACCAACTCGCTATTTCTGTCCGAGGTTGAAAAGGAAAGGGATCTAGGCCTTCTTGTTGACGACCCAGGTGAGCAGATCGACCTTGGTGACAACGGCCACCGGTTTGGACAAGCTCTTGGAGCCCTCGGTCTTCTCCGTGACGACGGCGGCGCTGTTCCACTCGAGGAACTTGCTAAGCACTGAGAGCGGCGTGTCGAGGGTGATCTCGACAAAGTTGCGCTTCTTCTTGCTCTTCTCGCCGCTCTCGCCGGCCTGCCGGGGATCGGTGACGACCTCGTCCAGGCGGCCAAAGTCGAACATGACGTCGCTGACGGGGCTGGACGCCGTGGCGCGGCCGGAGGAGATGTAGCTGAGCAGGTTACCCAGCGTCACCAGGCCGACGAGCTTGTTGCCGCTGGCAGACAGGACGGGGAGCTGGTCGAAGCCCTTGTCGCGCATGATCTCGGATGCCTCGGAGCATGGGCTCGTGGCGGGGACGGACATGACGGGCTTCAGGCGCAGGGCGCGGACGGTGGCGCCCTCGTAGGGGTCGTTGCCGGCCTTGGGCTTTTCGGCGCCGTTGGTGGTGGCCTGGGTATCGAGGCCGTTGACCTCGGGCAGGAGGTCGTTGGCGGCGAGCCAGTCGTCGTCGGCGAACTTTGAGAGGTAGCTGCGGATGCTGTCGGGCAGGACGACGACGATAGTGTCGCCCTTGCCGAGGCCGAGGTCCTTGACGGCGCGGACCATGGCGGCCATGGCGGAGCCGGAGCTGCCGCCGACGAGGAGGCCCTCCTCGGCGATCAGCCTCCTGGCGAGCTGGAAGGACTCGCGGTCCTCCGTCTTGTACCACTTATCGACGAGCTCGCGGTCAAGCACGTCGGGGATGAAGTCGTAGCCGATGCCCTCGACCTTGTAGGACTCGTTCTCGTGCTCCTTGTTGAGGGTCTCGGGCAGGGCGAGGATGCTGCCGTGGGGGTCGGCCGCGATGACCTTGATGTTCTTGTTGTGCTTCCTCAGGCCGCGGGCGATGCCGGTGATGGTGCCTCCCGTGCCGGCGCCGGCGACGACGGCGGAGATATTGCCACCGGTCTGGGCCCAGATCTCCTCGGCGGTGCCGAACTCGTGGGCGAGCGGGTTGTCGAGGTTGCCGTACTGGTCGAGGATGTGGGCGTTGGGGATCTCCTTCTCGAGGCGGCGAGCGACGCCGATGTGCGACTCGGGGCTGTCCCAGGCGGCCTGTGTGGGTGTGCGGATGATGGTGGCGCCGAGGGCGCGGAGGACGGAGACCTTCTCGGCCGACATCTTTTCGGGGAGGGTGATGATGGTCTTGTAGCCCTTGATGGCGCCGACGAGGGCCAGGCCGATGCCGCTGTGGTTCTGTCAGTAAGGGACGCGGGGTCTGGGGAGCAGTCGGGGCAGCGTACGTGTTGCCACTGGTGGGCTCGATGAGGGTGTCACCGGGCTTGATGCGGCCGGACCTCTCGGCCTCCTCAATCATGCGCAGGGCGATTCTGTCCTTGACGCTGCCGCCGGCATTGAAGAGCTCAACCTTGGCGTAGACCTCGGCCTCGATGCCCAGGCTCTGGGGGATCTTGTTGAGGCGCACGAGGGGCGTGTTGCCGATAAGCTCGGTGGCGGACTGGGCGGTGACGGCCATCCTGGTGGCGTTGATGGACTTGACGTCGCCCATGATTGCGTATGGATGACTGGTTTACGGGGAGGGTTCGTTAGGGGCGGTAGAGAGTGAGGTGTTGTAGGAGAGAGGAAGACGAGGTGGAACGGTCAGCCCACAGACGTGATGTAGGCGGTGCGACGGGTGAAAACAGAAACGCAATCCACTTGGTGGGATGGTGCGAGAATTGGAAAAATGACCCCGCCAACGCCGAAGATATCCGCCCGCATGGGCGCGCTCCCTTGGCGCCCTTTGCCTTATACCGCCCCGATCCGTACAGGTGCCCACCCGCGGTGGCCAGACGAGCCAGGGCCCGGACTGGGCTCCTTGCAGCGGTTAAACCTCATCCCCACACCGACGGACGGTAGGTACTGTGGCACCTTGCCTCCCTGAGCATGCCCGCCCCAGTGAATTTTTCTGATTTTTTTTTCTCTTCCTTCTGGAATTTTTCTCTTTACCCCTTCTGCCCCATTACACCCATCCACGCCGGCCCTTCCCAGGTTACCATTATGTCATTGCTAGGAAACCTTGACGACCCTGTCCCTCGGTGTTCCCCGAGTCTTGCTTCTCAGGTAGCGCACGTGGGTTGTTCCGGGTATTCTGGGTTTCGGGAGACTGTAGACTGACAAGTGCCCTGGCAACTCGACACACTTCGGAGCTTGACTCGACCTTTGACTGGGCTTGCAAGGACGACTGCGTCAGAAATTGAGAGGTCGCATAATCCTTTAAAGTGTACGTATCTCGGCCGGTTGTATCCGCAACTCGGCCGAAACGGTGGTGTACCGTAGTCATTGAACTGCCTCGTCACAGGACGCGGAAGAGTTGTACCTTGAGTTCATCGACAGCTTCCATTAGACTCACCGACAATTAGAGACCAACGCAAATTGATAGCGCCACAATGACAATCTTGACTTAAAAGCCAATGCTACCCCAATCCCTCTTAGTCAGAGATATTCAAACGACATCCCTCAGAAAAGACCCATGCAAACAGCTCCCCGAAAGTTCCATCGCTTCGTCGTTTACTGCAGAGGAACTGCTTCAAAGAACAACTCAACATTGGATGTCGTATTTCCTTGAGAATTTCCGAAACACTAACACGCAATCTAAAAATGACTTCAGGTATTAAACGCATGTGCATTGCTTATTCGTCCGCATTTCGGCCGAATCTCGCCCGCGAATCCTCTTGTGACATGCCACCATCTCGAGATTCCCTTTTTGGGAGATTTTAGAGCCACTCATCCGCCCGAATTGGTCCGGAGAATTATAGCAATACATTGTATATACATGTCTATATATTTATCTATCAATCATGAAATGTGGCAGTTGTCCTTCGAAACTTTGAATTCCATGCCATTGCATTGACTCTGTTTTCCAAATACTACTTTACACGGACATAACTCACCAGTATCTGTCTTTCTCATTGGGATAAGCGACACAACGATGGTCGATCCCAACAAATCATCTTCACAAAGGACTATCGTCATTCTCGGTGGCTCATACGGAGGCGTATCAACGGCACATTACCTCCTCAAGCACGTCCTGCCGGGGCTGCCTAGCCAGCATGTGTACCAGGTGGTTCTCGTCAGCCCCTCGGTTCAAGTCATGTGTCGGCAGGCTTGCCCTCGAGCGTTGATCTCCGAAGACATGTTTCCTCAAGACAAGCTCTTCGTCGACATCTCCTCCGTGTTCAACTCGTATGTCAATGACACGTTCCAATTCATCCAGGCAACGGCAACAGCACTGGACCATTCCAAGCAGACTGTAACACTCAGCTTGGCAAGCGATAAAGGCGTCAAGACACTCACTTATTACGCAGTAGTCATTGCGACTGGTGCATCAACCCCTTCGCCTCTTCTCGGTCTCAACCACGACTCGCAGAGTCTGAGGCAGAGCTGGGCTGAGTTTCGAAAGGCTCTGCCAAAGGCAAAGAGTATCGTCATTGCTGGTGGGGGCCCAGCGGGAGTTGAGACCGCCGGGGAGCTCGGTGAATATCTCAACGGTCGACCGAATTGGTGGAAGAGCGTACTGGACAACCCAAAAGCTGCCATTACTCTTGTGACTGCCGCAACTCAGATTCTTCCCGCGCTCCGCCCGTCCATCGCGCAAAAGGCCGAGGCTTATCTCGCCCAGGTTGGAGTCACCGTTCTCAAAGGTCTTCGGGTCGCGGCTGTACACCCCGCCGTAGCTGGAGCTGACGAAGTCGCGGCAAACGCAACCGTCACCCTCGACAACGGCAAGACGCTCGATGCAGACCTTTATATCCCGGCAACAGGAACAAGACCAAACACTGATTTCATCGACAGCAGCCTCCTCCTTCCAGACGGCAGAGTGAACACCAATCCTTCGACCCTTCGCATCGACAAAGCTGGGCCCCGAGCCTACGCCATTGGTGACGCATCCTCATTCGCAAGGCCTGCCGTCCACAACATCCTGAGCGCCATCCCTATCCTGTGCTCCAACATCAAGCGCGATTTTCTCCTGGCTTCAGAGAAACTGGAGCTTGCGGAAGGCAAGGACAGACTATTTGCAGAAGATACCCGCGAGACCCAAATGGTGCCAATCGGCAGGAGCAAAGGCGTAGGGGCGGCCATGGGGTATCAGTTGCCTAGCTTCATGGTTTGGATGGTCAAAGGTCGGGATTATTGGTTATGGACAACTGGGAATCTCTGGAGCGGGAAACAATGGGCCAAGGAGTCGTGATTGGGCATTGCAGTGCATGCGAACCAAAGTCTGGATGTCTTCCGAATCCGGCTTCTGTAATGTGTCGCTGTAGTCCGTTGGTTTAGCTATCTGGTTGGTATGCGTTTTGATTCTGGGTTGCACTAAATTCATTCCGGAACCTTTTGACGAGGAATCTATTCTTCTCCCAGCTTTTACCAAACTGGGGTCATGCATGTCTCACTTGCATCAGGGTATGCAACTTGTTCAGCTCTATATAAGCTTCCCCGTGAGGGTAATATTTATTGTGCTTGGTTCCAAGAACGCCAATAAGAGGCGGCAGAAAGGACACATAAAGTCTTCTATAATCGTCTTGATTGGCTTGTTCTGGTATACATAAGCCTGGCCTGTGGCTTATGAACACTGCAATACCACATGACAACATAAAAAAATTGACAAAAAAACAATTGCTGCGTATACCGTGGTGGCTTAGACTTGGCCATAGGCTACTCGTATGACCTCCAACTTCCAATTCGAGCAGCGTTTTGATTCAGTTCCAGACGGGCACGGTATGCCCGAGGAATTACGCCCAGAACTTTGCTGTACTGTGCGCCATCGGGCTTTTCCCGCTCCTACTGGAGGTCAGATACAGTCACATGGGGTTAGCGTGTCTTAATCCAGCTTCAAGCCATTCGTCGATCAACGAGCGTAGGTCAAACCATACTATAACCATGCAGGTAAGAACAAGAATGGCGCCGCAATCAGACGAGAGGGTCAATCTGGCACGTCTTGTTCGGGAGCTCGCGAAACTCTTGGTTTCTATCTTGGTACCTAAATGATACAAGGCTGGCTGAACAAGCAATTTCACCACTGGCTGAGGCTCAGTGTCAGATTTGCTGGCCATTGTGTCTCTTGGGAAACCAATGAGCTTTCAAATTAGCCCACCAAAAAATTGACTCAGAGTTGCTCGTAGAGACTTACACGCCCTTCTGCCTGGGGAAATGACACATGTGAAGATTGTTAAACGTGAACGAATATAAAACAGAGGTTCCCCGCGCGTTATTGAAAGCCGATTTACCATATCCAAGCCAGGACAGCACCTATCGTCACATCATCCATCACTACTTGTTATAATCTTTCTCGCAATCATGCCTCGTATTCAGGCCTTCGAGGGCATGCAATACTCTCGCACTGGCGACGAGCTCGAACAGCAAGATTACGCGTTCTTCAACCAGCAGTATGCCACTTCCACCTATCAGAAGGAGCATGATATGAACCCGGACCTCATCGTCCGTCCCAAACATGATGAGGACGTCATCAGGGCCGTCAACTGGGCCCGCGAGAACAAGGTTGCCGTTGCCGTAAAGAGTGGCGGTCACCAGTACAGTGGCGCGTCGTCCACAGGCGGCAAAAATATCCAAATCGACCTGAGCAACACATACAGAGACCTGATGATCTTACGGCCCAAGGAGCCCATCGCCGAAGACAAGACTCTTGTCTATATTGGCGTCAGCACCACCATGATGGACCTCAACAAGTACCTCAAGCACAACAAGCTCTTTGTCCCCACTGGGCAGTGTGCCTATGTCGGCGTGGGTGGACATGGCCAGACTGGTGGCTACGGACAGCTTGGCCGCAGCTTCGGCCTTTTCGGTGATCACATCAAGACCATTCGTCTGGTCTGCCACGACGGTATCATCCGGGACGTCACCAAGGCAAGCGACCCAGAGCTCTTCTATGCTCTCCTCGGTGGCAGTCCTGGCAACTTTGGTATTATCACCCACTACATCGTCGAGGTGTACAAGTCCAAGAGTTACCTTGGCACTGTTGTTGGACCCAACGAGTTCAAGGGCCCCCACGGAATCAAGGCCCTTTGGATCTACACCAAGGAAGTTCTCACTCAGCTCCTTACTGCGGTCGCTGCCATGGCCGACGACCCTACGTTCCCTCGCGGCTTTGACCTATGCGTCAGCGTCATCAGCACCGAGTTCCCCATGGCATCATTGTTCAAGGACCTTAACGACGCGACCGTTTGGGATCGCATCCAGGATAAAATTAGGAGAGTTCTCGAAGACAAGTTTCTAGAGTTCCTCAACGGCAAGTTCCCTGCGTCCATCATCCTTTACGCGCAGTGGTGCCCGACCAACAAGAACGACAAGTACGACGCAAATGTCGACGCCTGGTTCAACAAGTTCCGAGACCTCAAGAGGCGGTTGGAGAACGAGACGCTCCAGTTCGCTGAATTCGACATGGAAATGTCCGACATGACAGGTCAATGGATCTTCCCGAAGGCGCGCGAGTTTGACCTTCCCTACGTCAAGCGCACCTACTCGACCAAATCGACGACATTGAGCAAGGATAAGTGGGTTGACGCCGTAGTCGACCGTATTGACCTCATCTACAGCCCAGAGCAATACCTTCAAGGGCATGCCGGTGAGAAGAACTATGAGCGTTACATGCGGTGCAAGCTCTCGGTTCAGATCCAATGTTTCGGGGGCAAGAACTCGCGCTTCTACACCAATAAGGACAACGGTACCTCGTACAGCTGGAGGGATTCGTCCGTTGTGCAGACCCTAGATTGCTTCCATAATCCCGATGAGGAGTCCAAGAGCTATGCCCAGGCATGGCAGACCAAGAACGACGCCATCATGAACGGCCCACAGAGCCCTTTCAGCAAGCAGGATAGACGCGTCCTCTGGGGATCTTACGGAGACTGGAACATGGGCGATGAGAGAGTTTGGAAGACGTACTACGAGGACGAGGCGAAATACAAGAGAATTGGGAAAGTCAGGGCCAGGGCTGACCCCAATGGCACATTTACGGCGAATCCCTTTGCGGTTGCTGCGGCGAGCAGTTCGAACTGACGGTACCACAGACCATATGTAGGCTTGTAGCTGGCGTCCATCAACTCGACTGTTCTAGATAGACCAAGAAGTCACAGAACTATGAGTTTCCTTCTTTCAGCTCATGAACACCGTGTGCATTTTATGCCTGATAAGGAAATTTTATTGCCATCCTGCTTCGTTCACCCTACTTACATCGCCATTCGTAATGCCAGTATCTTACCCATATCCGGGGTACCGAGTCCCGAAACCGCATCCCAGCCCGCGACAGCCGGCCAGCTCGCGTCCGGCACGATCTTTGCTCCAAACTCTGGCGGGAATTTCTGGGTTCCAAACCCAGTAGTCCCATCGCATCCCACAGACTTACCGGCCGACACGTCGTTGATAGCCTGTAGTCCGGCGCCATAAAGCCATGGGTTGATGAATCCCATCGACGGCTTTCCTGCTTGAATCAGCGCCGCGTTCACCGAGCCAATTATACCGGTCCATATTGGCGCCGCGGCGCTCGTCCCCTGGAACCCGGCCATCTTGCCTTCGCTGACGAATGTGAGGTTGAAGCTCTGCGCGCTGACGTCTGGGAACCCTCGGCCTGAAGCATTGAACAGATTGCTGAATTGGTTCCCAATGGTGTTCTTCAGATACGCAGATACGGCCTGGTCTTGGTACGTTGGTCTCGCGAACTTTTCCGAGAACCCGCCGCTCGAAAAGGCACTTGCAACCTCCGGTGCCACGCCCCGAACGCCACCCACGCCGGTGACAAACGGGCATGACGCTGGGAACACGGGTTGGAACCTTGTGCTGTTGGTGCCGTCGTTTGAGACGCAGGTGTTGCCCGGACCAGAATCCCCTGATGCCGCGAGCATGGTGACACCCCTGGCGCCGAGAGCGCCAAACTGGTTGCACACTTGTTGAACGTAACCGTCGGGGAGAGATTGCTCGTTCTCGCCGAAACTCGTTGTAATGGTGTGCGGGAGTTTGTCGTCGGGCAATTTGAGCATAGCGTCCAACCAGATCAGCCAGGGCTCGGTCGTGTCCCCAGGCTGGTTACCCGCTTCTGGCTTGATGGGCCCATCTCCTGCAACCGAGAGTTCGATGTTTGGCACCGGGTTGGATAAAGATGCAGTATACTGGATGTCAAAGTTCAACTCGGAGTTTGGGAACTTGTTCTGGTTTTGGTCCGTCGTCCCGCCATTGATGCTCATTAAGGAGAAGTTCACACCCATGGAAGGTGGGTCGATGTTCTTGGCGAAGAGCGCGAAATCGGCGAATTTGGCAACCTGAAACTGAGAAGCGTAAACTCCGAGGCCGCGGGCCGGGCTGACGGCCAATTTCGCCGGAAAGTTGTACAGAGCCCTAATGCAGTTGGGCGTGATGGTTCTGTTGCAAATGGGGTCGACCTGGGCAGATTGGGGACGTGGTGGAGGGGCTGTGTCCGCCTGCACTGTATACAGAAGCGTGGGGTTCAGTCCCGCAAATGACCTCTTGTGTTTTCGGAGTTCATCGCTGGCAATTTGGTCTTCTGCATGAGCGGAAGCTTCAGGTTGTTGGTGCATCATAGGATGTGAGCAGAACCTCGTCGTGGGAGTTATCAATGAGATCTTGCTCTTCAAGTCGAGTGGAAGTGAGTACTGCAATGTTCTCAAGACCTCCTTACCGCTGTCCACATGCTGAAACCATGCAAAGTCCGCATCAAGAAGCTTGTTTGCATCCTTCACTGTCGTATTCACCCGGATCCAGTGGTTGTCGCTGGTGATTTCTGCGGGATCCGCGTTTCCATGTTCAACAAGCCAGCTAACTATGGCATCACGGGCTTCGCCATCTGGATTGAGCAGAGCTTGCGCCTCATCTCGAGTCAAGTGCTTGCCGTAGAGCTCATGGCCCGGTGTCGAGACGCCGTAGAGCACCTGCTCCACGTGAAGGCTTTTGTCGACTGCAATCGAGAGATCAAAAGAGTGACTCGGTTCCGCAAGGCGAAAACGTATCCATTGAGATGGCGGAGCTCTGGCATATTCCACTTGTACTAGGCCCTGCTGAGATACATGGACGGAAGTGACTGAGCAAGAAAGAAAAACAAGGGTGATCAGAAGCGATAGCATTCTCACGGTATACGTTGTACTCCTTCACATAACAGCCTTTCGGATACTAAAGAAAATGAATGAGCTATATAAAGGATGAGCCGTCAAAGCACCAAGACAGCCTTGAGCATTACAAACGGCAGGACGTTGGCAGTTTATGGGCTGCGAAATTGTGAAGCTGATTTAGACCGACTTTCAGGATGCCGGTGAGGTTTAACTTAGGTGCCAAACATGCTCGAAACCTCGATACCTAGACATCGACGCAGTCTTTGGCTTGAAACGTTCTCAAACTTAAAGGCACCGATATAAATTTACTACAAGACAAGGTCTCGACTCAACCTAAGATCCACCGTAGTCAGGGTTGTAGTCAGGGTCTAGGTCTTTTCCCAATCGTATACACTAACCAGTTTCAAGTTTCCACACGGGATGGCGACATTTACGAGTCGCTCGGTACCCACCCGATATAGCAGGGGCAATCTATTTGAAAACCTTCCATGGCTGCGACAAAGATCTACAAACCGAACAAAAACTTCCTAGAACGTTATAAAGTATTAAGATCCGAACCAGCGTAAAACCCTAAAATAGGCACCACTGCTAAGGGGTTCTCACATCTCAAAGTCCAGATGTATGAGAACAGTCAACCCTGACGATCACCTTTTAGGATTTCACAAGGAGTAATCTAGCCTAAAGTTTCCAGCCCTGGCGGTCCTTTCGTTCGCTCCCGTAATTCCACGAACGTTGTTTGTTTTGTGAACGCCGCGTCTTTTATGTTTCCAGTGTGCTGGCAATTTCGAGGTTACAAATAGGCACTGGTGAGAATTCTGGCTGCTGGTCAGTCCCGGCCTTTTTGATCCGTGGATAAGATTGGGAGGTAGCAATAATTGCATGCGTCATGAACAAGAGCGTGACATAGTTGATGGGGAGATTCTGCTTACCTTTGTGATTAAGTATGACTTTGTACGAATATCCCATGACTGAGAAAAACATCACTCGGCATTAGAGACATCCACGATAACGTTATTTTCCAAGCATGGAGATGATGACGAGTTTTCTTGGCTGCGACCATTTCGCTGGCAGCGTCTAATTCAAAATGCAGAAACATTCCAGGGAAGTCCTTTGGATACGTTAGCGCTGCTTCAAGCCTTCAAGCAGAAACCTTGTTTCGTCCTTAGATGTCAGCCCGCGTCCTCCGTGGGATTGTTGGGTCATTGAATGTTAGTTGAAGAAGAGCAATGGATCAGAGCACTAGCTTCTTAACGTGCCTACGCGTCCTAACGCGTATGCAGCGGGCATTGGTCGCGGGAAAGCTGAATCCTACTAGTGGTCTGACACGAGTATAATCCGACCGTCTGAGAATCCGAGCAAGAGTCTGCCCTGTTGGCATTTCAAATATGCTGCTTCAAAAACAACGAATCAGCTATATATACAGATGAGTAAGCGGGATTGCTTGCAATGACGAGACTGGGGGTTAGGCGAACCATCGTATCGAATACGCGCGATTTGCCTTTTTGGAAAGAACAAGGGGGGGAATAAAGAATAAAAATAATGTCTCTTACAATAGCGGCCAGGATTACCATGTCAGTCGACAAAATTCAATTCGCCCTGTTGAACATGCAAACCTTCAATAAGAAATGGAACGCGAGCATTCTCTTACCGACGTCTCATTTGTTTCGTCGGGTTATTGATGATAAAGACATAACGAGACCCCAGAAACAACATCCGGGGTTTTCCTTTCCATCTCTGGAACCGCGCAGTTACTGCTGTAGCCTCAACTGGCTGTCAGAGGCTGGAGTCGTACAGAGTAACGAGGTCGGCGATGGGCACAGGTAGGGGTGGGTGTTGACTGTTATTCCAATCTGCCTTTTCCCCTAGGTCCGCCGCAGCTGCTCCTTATATGCCCCCAGGTCCCCCCCCCCTTGACCGAGCCCAGTTCCCCTGGCTTTGTTGTCGGAGTCTGTGTTGGCCGCTTAGCTAGAATCCCTTTATAATCCCTTGACTATGTGTCGATGCGGCCCCCAGCTACCCCGCCGACGGCCCCACTAGTGCCGCGCCGGTGCCCCCCCCTCTGGGCGCCTGACACTGGCCTAGGCGGAGATTGAACAGACCTGAACTGATAGGAACGGCCCAGTTTTGTTTCCCTCTGGCTAGGTTTGGTGAAATCAGACTACAAGTGGGTACAATGTTAATGTTAGGGTGTCCCTGGTGTGTATGAAGTAAGTTGTATTGCTCTATCTAACCCTGGGGGTCTGTCTAAATAGTAAGCCCATGTCCGGCTTATGTAACAGTCTACCCCTGTCAAAAATTGTAGTGCCCTCACTGCTTATCTAGCCGGTTTTTCCGATTCTTGTCGTCACAAGTCATGTTTCTGGATATATTTATTGTAAGTCGTAGTAAGTTAGAGATAAGCTAAGAGTAAGTCTAAAAATTTATGTCACAAAGGTCTATTGCCTATTATTTATCGTCTATCCTTAATTATTAATTATTAGTCATTAATTATCTATTATTAACATTAATAATTATTAATTATAAGCTCCTATTTCCTTACCATATTCACAAGTAATCACATAGTATTTAAGGATAAAAGAATTACTATTACCTATTAGTTATAATATCATCTTATAAAATATATTATCTTAAATAATATTACATTTATTACAATTAATCATAGAGTCATAGATCTTATTAGTATACTTCACTAAATCAAGCTATCCCTTATTCTTCAGCTCTTATACTACTCCCTAAAGTCAATATTTATTATTTATAGTTATATTAGTTATAATTTTACTAATAAAATCAACAAAGTCACAATATTCCTCTCTAACTTATAACTTCTTATTAACTTCTATATTCTAAATAGTTTTGTTCTTAGTTAATTATCCTATAACGTTATATCTAGCGTCAATAAGACCTACAGCTATCAATCAAATATCATCATTCTCTATATCCTTATTATTAATAATTATTCTAGAAATAATATTTATTTTCTAAAGTTATTATAAAAGTTAATTTAATTTCAAGCTATCCTTAGTTAATTTATAACTTATTAAATATAAAAGTAATACTATATATAAAATAACTTTCTTTATTTAACTAGTTAATAGTTACAAGTTATAAAGTAAAGTCGCTATAATTCCATAATATAAAAGTATCTCATTATCCTTAAATTTTCTAACTACATAGCATATAATATAAGAAAATATGTTACCCTTTTTCTAGAATAAAGTTACCTTTCTATAAAGCATCTTTAAGATAAACCATTTATTATAATTAAAAATAGCTTTATTTATCTTATTATTATTAAAGATTTTAACTATAAGGTTAAAAGCTTTCTTCTAAGCAAATATTAAGTTATATATTATTAGCTATAAATATTTCTATAGTAATTTAGTTATCTTATAAAAGAAATCCTTATTAATAAAAGTTATAATAGACGTCTTTTTAGTTATTATCTATTTCTTTAGAATCACCTAATCTTAAAAGATTATTAAATTTTTACGTTTAGTTATCTTCTTTCATAATTTTATTTATCTCTTTAAGGTCTTAGTATTATTAATAATTATTATATCTAGTTTATTATTATTACTATCATCCTTACCATTATCATTAAAAAATATAACTAGTTAATTACTCTTCTACCATTTTTTTAAAAGTTCTATTACCCTTACTACATTAATCTCTTCTTTAGCTTAGTAGTTTTAAAGAGAATAGTAGCTAGTAGTTATATAAACAATAAGATTATTATAGTACCTACATAGGTATTATATCAGGATCCATTTATTTACGTCATCCTAGTCATCTTTTATCAACATACTTTAGTCTAAAGCAACTCCTTCTAGGAGCAAAAGAGTTTGTTCATTCCTACAAAAAAAAGCATCTTTATTATATTATCAGCAATAGTTAAAGACAAAAGTTTATCCTCCATATACTTAAATTATCTTATAATTAAATATACTCAAGACTAGTATATAAGTTCACAGCTCTATTAGTAAATACAGCTTAAGTTTAAAAATATTATAGTTACTATCATTAGGTTATATTGCCTTATTACCTAAGGTCATAACAGCTTAATAAAGGATCAAGTTATTACCTACGTTATTTAATATAATAGCAGTTTATTATAGTATTAAGTTATCTATAAATGTTGGAATAACAGCACCAGCTGGTTGTACGACACGCACGACTCAGGGACACACATCATGGCAGAGGGCACAGACTGGATATTCGGCTCTCGGTTATCCATTGAGGGGATCAAAAGTATATTCATGCCGAACTGACTCAGGGACGTACGAGATCATATATCTTGTGTACGAAAGCCAAGTCTTGTAGTTAGGAAGATAATCACGGAAAATACATCTTTGGTTCACCCTAACTTTAACCCGAGTACGATCGTACAAACGGGTTCTCTCAGGAAGAGAGAATCCATTCAACAATAAAGTTATTATCTATTATAGTATTTATCTATTAAAAAGCTAAACTAGTAAAAAGACTTTTACATAAGTTGTTATAGTAACCTGTAGTATTAGCTAATTATATAGAGTTATTAGCTATAGTAATCTAAAGTTATAAGGTTACTATAGTTACTTAGTTATTTTATTATAAAGTATTTATAGTTTAATATAAGTTTTAGTTTTATATATATATAATAATAAAATATTACTATAATTAAATATAAATTAAATAAAAAAAGTTCTTATAATATAAAAAAAAAGAAATTTATTAAAGCTAAGCTAAAATAAAAAAGATTTATATACTATTAAATAATAAAAATAATATAATTAGCTTAAAGTAAAAACAATAGGCATATTAGTAAGTACAATAATTCAAAAAGTAGATACCATTATATTCTAGTAATTATTCAAATTAATAGTTTTAGTAAAATTAGTTAATATCATCAAGTCATAATAATCGTTTACTATTATTCTATATAATATCATGTTTTATTAATAAGCTCTAGTAATATAGCCATAATTAAGGTTATAGTTATCAGTCTCTTTCTTTATACCTAGTTATTCTTCTTTTAC